TGGCCACTGGAATTCTATTAGGAAAAAAACTCTAAGTATTAAAAAACTCTATCATCTCTAAGTGTTCCAATGAGATCTATCACTGAAGGATTAGTTAGGAAGATGTTTTATTCAATTCAGTGGTACATGAAACTCCGCCTGGTTGATCATGATGGCCAAAACAGCAGCTAAATCACTCTTTGTGTCTTGTACCATAAAGCTTTTTTTAAGATATGAACAATTTTGAATTGCAGAATTACTACTTAGACTTGAGTCTTCAACCACCTTAGAAGTGATTTTCTCAATCCATGTTTAATTTTGAAGATGAGGATCAACATAACATTGCATGTTCACTTACTAATGAAGCAGTTGATGAGCACTGTGCTAAGGAAAGTAGTTTCTCTCTCTCTCTCTCTCTTTCTCGCTGGCTTGATAAATTTTTAAGGACCAATAAAATAATGAAATACACAGATGCTATCCATGGAGGTTGTTTTGATCCCTTTGAGCTTTTTTACTAGACCATTATCACATTCTTGGTTGTTATTTCAGTAGCATGATTCCCAATGGATTAATTTAGCAAAATACAAGCAAAAGGAATCTTTGATCTTTCCAACTATAATAAGGATTTTTTTAAAACAAAGAAAATGTTTTGTCAATATGACTATTTCTTACAATCAGCATTTGTGTGTGTGTGTGTGTAATTTTATTTTAAAAAATTAAAAAAGAATAAAAATTACAACAAACTAAATCAGAACAGAAAAGTGAAAAAAGAGAAAAAATAAAAACAGCTAAAAGTGCAATAGAAAAAGAAAATAGAAAAAAAGAGCAAGTTATAAAGAAAAGTATAGAGACATGTCTTCAAGTTATGACCATTCGTTTAGTGACTGTTCGAAGTTACAACAGCGCTGAAAACATTGACTTATGACCAGTCCTCACACGTATTACCATCGCAGCATCCCTGCAGTCATGTGATCACAATTCAGGTGCTTGGCAACCAGCATCTATTTACAATGGTTGCAGCATCCTGGGGTCATGTGATCACCATTTGCAACCTTCCCAGCCAGCTTCGGACAAGCAAAATCAACAGGGAACTGTCTGATTCACTTAATGACCACAGTGATTCACTTAACGACAACCACCAAAAATATCGTAAAATGAGGTGTGGTCATGTGACAACTTGCTTAATGATCGCACCACTTAACAATGAATTTTCTGGCCCCTATTGTGGTTGTAAGTCTACTTGTATTTGTCCTTCACATCAAGTGAAAGAGATGTGTCCTTCTCCTGCCAACACATGAGTTATCATCTGCAGCAAGGTATCAATGACATAACATATATCTATGCCTGGGAGATATGTGAAAAAGATACTTGGCTGTGTGGAAGCAGGAGTCCACAAAATGTAAATATGATTATATGTAACTATTGTGTCATGTGGCAAGTAAGGTTCCAATTTATCAAAGAAGGAAAAAAAAATCCAACATTAAAAAAACAATATATTATATTAAACTATAGACTGGGATTGGGGAAATGGATCCAATGTGGAAGAAGAATTTGGTTCCCATAAGGTCACTCAACAAGATGATATTAGAATGCAGGCTTTTAGTCTGTGCAAATTCCTCCATCGTTGCTAAATCTCAGTCCCAAACTGCATGGATTACTTCATGTGAGACTAACAATGGAGAAAATTCCCATCAGCTCCTATACAAAATAGAAGTGCTTTTCTCTGTGTAAGAGCAAATTGGGAGGGAAGGCATATTTTTATCTGTAGGAAGGGATGGAGAATGGTGACTCATAGAAGTGCAGATAAAATGAAAAATGTGTTTAATTTTGAGCGCAGAACCAAACAACTTAATCCAGAAGGTCCCATTAGAAAGTTACAAGTTAGCTGTGCTCTTACCAAATTTAAGCTGGAACAGCTTGAGTGTTCGGGGTTCTCTTAGAATAAAACTCAGAATATTCTGAGTGTTCCAACCATAAGAAACCATAAGCAATAGGGGGAACTCGGTATGAAAATTCTTCTCTTGTTCTACATCTCAGAGCCATAAAAGTATATGGGGTGTCAGGCTATATTGGCAGCCTCTTCCCACTCAAATTATGGAAGATTGAGAAAAAAAGGGCTGAATTTTATATATATTTTTAAAAGATTGAACAATATTTGTATAGATACTATGGAAACAATTGTTTTGTGGGGTACGCAAAAGGGTCTTCCACTGGAGATGCTAACAGAAAGGAAAGTGAACTTCTCTCTGTTCTTTTAAAATTTCTCACACATTCAGTTCCACTACCTCTAGGGCAGATACTGTCAGCCCTTTGAAGTAGACCAGGTCAGGAAACAGACACCACAAGAAATACTAGACCTTTACTGATATAGGCTGTAACAACAAAAACTTAAAAGCCTGACTCTTTCTCTTCCCTCTTTCTTACACTAAAGAGAGTCAAGGTGGGAAAATCTTGAATTTCTTCTTCACCCCTTTCTGTTTTCCTGGGCTAAATTCATGTTTTCCCAACAGTTGCTGCATATTTTCTTCAAGGTCATCTCTGTGGTCCTCTATAGGCTCATGAAGGTCAGCCAGGAAGAAAATATTGATTTTGCCAAACGCTCTGAGGTTTTAATTTTTTAAAAAGATTGTTTTTTAATCACCCCATGTTTCTTATTCAACATTAGTTACCTTGAAAATCTCAGCCAGCATGATTCCCATAGTTCCTATTTAACAGCAGGTTTAAATATCAGTTTAATTAACTGATATTAACTAATTTCAATGTAAATAATAAAGAAAAAAGAAGGCAAATGAAAATAAACATTTGACACAAACAATACAGGATCTCAGTCTGGAAGATAATACTTGTCTATCTGCTTCAAAGGCTTACACTTTATTTTTATTCACATGAAACTGCAACAAAGACAGAGTCCTAAATGTGTTGTTTTTAAATGCTGAAATCTCTGTTTTCTAGTTGCTAGGTGATAGACAGAAGGATGGATGGATGGATGGATGGATGGATGGATGGATGGATGGATGGAAGAGGGGAGGGGTGGAGAGGGAGAAGGAGAAGGAGAAGGAGAAGGAGAAGGAGAAGGAG